GACGAATTTACGATCTCTACGGAATTGACAATAAGATCTATTCTCTTCGTCGTTCAATATCATATTCGTTAAAATAAACCCTAAACCCCTCAAAAACGTCAACCGAACAACAATTAATTTTATCTGCACTTGTATTGGCATCATTCTTGTCTTAATTACACGCACATTAAGCATTACATGCATGCAACTTAACCACCGAATTTCTGAGCTACTTTAATTAATCCGAGCCTAGAGCCTTACACACGTAGATGATGAGGTAGCCGCATGATAATTTTTAAAATGCACATGTTACTGTTTGCCTCACACATGTTATCCGTTGAGCACACGCACATTAATTCCTTTCCAGACGCATGTTATGTTACTGGACTGTCTGACGCACGTTAAGTAATGACATAATATTTTAACAAACACTCACGCATGTTAACTGTTCAACATACGCACGTTAACTATTACCCTGAAGCACGTTAATTTCTCACTTGCCGCACATACTCTTGTATTTTATAAATCTGCCATATTGATAATGATCTGATTAACTTAACGCATATTAAGTGTTCACATTACGCACGTAGAGGCTTGCAAAAACATAATCATAACTTCATGCTTATACGTTACAGTTCCCAGTTTACTTTCAATCTACCAACAACCCCAGTTTGAGTCCCAGCAGCAGCAGCAATGGTCATACATTGACCATATCTCCTGGAATGACACAGTATTGGATTCCTCATTGTGAAGATGAAATCAAACCAGCAGTAGACATGATTTTTAAAACATTGGATGCTGGTATTGAATTCTACAATCATTATGCTGCCAAAGTCGGGTTTCACACGAGGTCTAGTTCCGTCGTTACAGCACGTGACGGGACAAAAACTCAAAAGCAAATCGTTTGCAATAGAGAAGGATTTAAGAATATAGGAGCTCAACACTGTCACTCGCAGTCAAGTGCAGATGCAGGGGAAGGTCCTTCCCATCCAAAGCAGCGAAGGGTCATTCCGTACATTGGAGCAGCTGGGTACCAAGTTACAACTTTTATTGAAAAACATAATCACAGCATGTCTTCGGTTCTGGCAAGGCAGTTTCTAAAGGGAAATAGAAACATCTCCAGTGTTCACCAGAAGTTTATACTCGATTGCGCTAAAGCAAATATTGGAGCATCAAAATCACACGGTTTATACAGTCATATTGTGGGGGATTACTCTGAAGTTGGGGTGACTGTAGTTGACTTTAAGAATGTTAGAAGGGATCTCAGAGCATACATATTGGGAGCTGATGCACAAATACTGGTGCATAATCTTATTAAGAAACAAGAGATGTGCCCTGCATTTGCTTTTGACTACGAAGTTGATGAAGATGAGCAGATGAGCAGACTGTTTTGGGCAGATCCAATGTCAAAAAAGAATTTTGCTGCATTTGGAGATGTTGTCTCTTTTGATGCCACATACTCAACAAACAGGTATATATTATTCTATTCACATTCTTGCGTACGTTTCATTAATTAATCCACATTTAGCATTGCCTGATCTGTTGAGCCATGTTAAGATTTAGACACGTTCACTGTTTTATTGAAAAAAGAGTTGAAATATAAATAACCGCACATTTTCGTTTTATACCATGCATTTTAAACACTACTGTCTCGCATATTAATGCGGAATATCCAGAATTAGACTTTAATTACATATGTGTGCTATTTTAATACTTAATGTGCGTTACTATAATTCTCTAAGTGCGGCAGTTTGACACCTGTATACTGTGATGACGCTTTTTGTCTTGTAGGTACAATCTGGTTTTTACACCCTTCACCGGAGTTGATAACCATAAAAAATGTATAACATTCGGTGCTGGACTACTGTTGAAAGAAGACATTGAGTCTTATGTTTGGCTCTTTGAAAAATTTAAAAAGGCAATGAGTATAGAACCAAGAATAATTGTCACCGATCAAGATCCAGCTATGAAAGTGGCGATTCCAACAGTTTTCAACCAAGCCAGGCATCGTTATTGCATGTGGCACATCATGTGTAAAGTTGGGGAAAAGGTGGGTCCTACGCTGAACAAAGATGAGGAATTCAGGAACAAACTGAACTCAATCGTTTGGACGTCATTTTTGGAACCTCCTGATTTTGAGAAGCAGTGGAGAGAGCTCATGGAAAAGTACAACTTAATCGAGCACAATTGGTTTTCAACTATGTTTGAGGCTAGAAAGCATTGGATCCCAGCGTATTTTAGAGATGGCTTTATGGGGGGTCTACTTAGGACAACATCTCGTTCCGAAAGTGAGAACTACACGTACAGCCGTTTTACTGGTCCCCAATCAAGCCTAGTTGAATTCATGATGAACTTTGACAATGCTCTTAAATCACAACGTAACACAAATGCAAAGCTCAACAGTGACAATGAAGGCTACAATCCAGATATGAAGACGCCTCTGGGGATTGAAAAACATGCTTCAATCGTCTACACCATTACTGTTTTCTATCAAGTTCAGGAAGAAATATGTGCCTCCTGTTTCAAATGTATGGTGTTGAGTGTTAGAGAAGACGGTGGAATGTTGCACTATGATATTATGGATGGAAAGAACAAAAGATTTACTGTGGTGCACAATGTAAATGACCATGAGGCCAAATGCAGTTGCAAGATGTTTGAGATGGTTGGACTATTGTGTAGACACATATTTGTGGTCTTTAGAGACCTTGAAAAAATCCCTCTGAAGTATGTGGTTAACCGGTGGACTAAGGATGCATCTTTAAAAGCTACATTTGAAATAGATGGTGTCATTTATGATCAGAATGGACCAAAGGATGAAAAGAAGATGTTGTTGAACAAAGTGTGGTCTGATATACACTGTTGTATGGATCTGGAAGGTTCAAACATGGAGCAATTGACTGCATTTTCCCAAGTGATTAATGAACAGAAACAGCTGCTACTGTCAGGAAAGGAGAAATTGTCCCCTCAGCACAGCAGGAGGACTGTTATAGAATCATATTGTGGATCAACAGAAATTTCAGAGATCCACATACTTCCACCGAAACATGCAAAGAACAAGGGCAGCGACAAGCGTATCAAAAGCAGCAAGGAGTTGGCAATGGAAAAACAAGAGGTCAGGAGGTGCAATTTTTGTGGTGTTAGAGGAGATCACCATGACACCAAGACTTGCCCACTTAACCCCAAAAATAAGGACAAGCAAAAGGGTAAGAAAAAGGCATAGCAGACTATTTTTTCAACGCCTTTACAGTCAAGAACGAAAATAGATAGCAAATATGAAACACAAATACTTAGTTAACTCATTTCAGAATGCTTTTTACAGTTGAGATACTTGAATTTAATGTCCAGCTATTACTAGTTTTTGTTTTTATCACTGATTTGTGTTTAACAATCACTGCTACTAGCTTAATGTGCGTGTTATTACTACTTTACCTGCGTGCAGTTAATTCTTAATATGTGTTGATTACACTTTTAACGTGCGCTACATTAAACCTTAATATGCGTAATACAGAAACAGAATGTGCGTTGGTTTATGTATAGAAACTTTGGTCCGTGGTAAATGCCAACGTCTTTACATGCGTCGAATAACATTTAACTTGCGCGACATTAAAGCTTAATATGCGTACAAAGGCAATATTTAACACTTTCTTTCTCTAATATGCGTTTAATTATTAGTTAATATACGATGCGTTAAAGATAAGTCTAATATGCGCGACTGCAAAACTTAAAGTGCGTTTATTTGATTATGAAATAATTTGCAGACAAAATGATACATACATAAACGATTGCACATATTTATTTCTACTAGTACTTTGAAGACATTTCTTCTGGTTCTGGCAGCATCCGACACATCACCAGCCACCCACAAATGCTCAACTCTCAGCCTTTGGATGTTGTTTGGAAACTAAATGATGAGCTTGAAGCTGAGAATAACAAATGATGCTTCAGGTTTAGAATGTGTTGTTTTTGTAGTTAGTTACAATCACTACAAGCTGGAGGGCGAGGAAGATGAAAATGACAGATAAGATGAGGAATAATTGAAGAGGATTCTTCTGTACGTGCGGAAAAGTGAGAGATAGCCATTTCAATAACCTGATGCTCAGTTGTGTGTTGTTCCTTCTAATTTATATATAGGTGAATAACTTGGTCACATGCACTGATTTGAGATTTGAATGTTGCGTGATTTACAGACACATTAGATTTTTCAAGATTTCCTTTAATGGGTGCGTTTTTTAAGGCATTGAATGACCATTCAATGTTATCCGTTTCCCCAACCAACTACAAATGCCTTAAAGTTCTGACATCAAATATCTTTGAATATTACGTGGATTGGTATAAAAGACTTAATGTGCTTTGCTTTGCTCTGTTACATGCGCGAGCTACAAGAACAACATGCGTGTAAATATAAATTTAATTAATTTGCATCGAAATAAATGATTTTTTAAAGCCAAAAGTTTAATGTGCGTCGTGAAACCAATTAAAGTGCGCGAAATATAGTCTAATATGCGTTTATTATATATTATTAATAAATCCAAAAGTTTAATGTGTGTCGGGAAATAATTAAAGTGCGCGAAATATCATTATAAGATGCGTTTATTATATTTTATTAATAAATACAAAAGTTTAATGTGCGTCGGGAAACCAATTAAAGTGCGTGATATATCATTCTAAGATGCGTTTATTATATTTTATTAAAAAAACAAGTAAAATATAATAAAAAGATCAAGTATTTATGGGGGTTCGATCGTGAGCGGAATCAGTTTAATGAAATAATTTGCATATAAAATGACACATACATGCTTCGAATTTAACATGCGCGACATATCAATTTAAAATGCGTGATATTGGAACACAATGGTAATAAACAGTTTGGCAATCTCATAAAAACAGTAATTAAAACTTATAAAATATCACAAAAACTAAAGTTGAATAATTATCACAGCACAGGATTAGAAAATGTCAAAATAGTCAATAGGTCTGGACAGTAACAGGGTCACAACATTCACAAACAATCATTTGCAGTACTACATTTTTTCCTTTCTGATCTCTGATTCCTTCAACTTCTTCATACTTTTGGATGATGAACACTCATCCAAAAGTGACCTTTTAATAGCTCCAGAGTTGTCGGCACTGTCATTTCCTTCCTTTTGTGAGGGGTGGACAGATGCAGGACTATTAACCTCCACTCCACTAGAGTCTTCCTGTTATTAACAAAAGGAGTAAACCAAATTAGTCACCCTCATAATAAAAAAAAAAAAAAACATTTTTAAGACGGTTGGTTTGAAATTCTTACTTCAGAATTTGCATCAGTGTTAGTTTCCTCCTCAATCATCGTAGACATTAAGTCTTGATGCTCCACAAACCTGTCAACATAAGTTTTCAGCAAGTGTTCTTCCATGACCACCCTCACAACATTGAATGGGTAATTGGGACCCCTCTTTAGAGCCAGCTTAAAATTGATCTTAAAGAGCATCTTCATTCCAACTATAGCATCCAACTCATGTGGCACTTCAACATCAACCTGTTTAGGTAGGTGATAAAATACTAAATTACAAACTGCATTAAAAAGTATAGACTAAATTTTGTATAGGCAAAAAGAAAAATTTACCTCCTTGTATTTTGCATACAAAATCGAAGCAGGAATACCCACAAGTTCTGCCACTTCTCTATCCCAAAGCAATAGTGGAGCATCTCCACTTTTGTCAATAGCAATTACAACAACTTCATATCTAACTATACCCATCATACAAGGCTTGTGACACTTAGTACAAATCAGTGATCCTTCTTGTTCTTTTAGTTTCTTATTACATCCCAATGCCAGGCATGATAAATAGTACCAACCATCCTCAAACTCTAACCCCAAAATCTTAGCAGCCACATAGTATTCCCCATCCTATAGTATACACATCATTTTATAAGCATATATAACAATTAACCAAATCAGTGAACTAAAATAAAAGTAAGAAGAGCTAGCAGAGTGTGTGGATTACCTCTTTAACCTTCTTAAGATCATGGCAGTTAGTGACAATAACAGAAGCATTTTTAAACTCACTAATGCCTGTAGAGTTTGAATGTAGGGTGCCAGTACTAAGACTTCTCATTGGAGTATTTTCAGCTTTCAACCTTCATAAATATTAGAAACTTTTATACAATCTCAATGCACATACTTTTACTTGACTAAAACACAAAAACAGATGTGTTTAAACAACTTATTAGCCTTATTTACTTTGCTGAAAATAGCTATCAAATTTTATGATTAGTAATTTGCTAAAGTTGGAAAAATATATACAGTATACAGCATGCTACTAAAGTCACAAATTTAGATTACAGTATATATAGAATTTTAGATAATATCTTTTTTTTTTCTAGAACACAGTAAACAGTAGTTAAAATAACAATTTTGTTTTTCTAAAATCTGTAATACATAATAGAGCATACATTATTACAGATGAATCTTACAAATAGGACAAATAATAAAAAAGATGAACTTACTTTGACCTAAACTCTTGGAATTCCTCAAAATCCTCATTGAACCAAAGCTTCGTAGCATCATATGAATGGGTTATTCTAACCTCACCTGCAAAAAAAAAACAATATACAGATATATATTAGTCTAAAAGCTGGATTGATTAATAGATATTAAACAGAAAAGTATAGATAAACTCACCACTAACAACTTTAGCCCGACAGCACTGAATGACTACAATCAGTGGTTCTTTCGAATCACTATTGTAATAAGGAATAAGGGAATATACATGTTCATTCCAAAGTGTACATGTCAGGGTGTTGTCACTGGATTCCAAACAGGAAAAAAAAAAGTATTACATTAAAAAAATCACATCATCAGTTTATAATTGATTCAAAGTTCATTTTTAAAAACTTACGCATTGTCTTCAATTTGAAAGTCAATGAATTTGGTTGCCTTTCCACCTATAATCTTGTCCATAGGATTATAAATCACATTGACCCTTCCAATCACATCTGCCAATTTACCAAAAGATTAGAAAAAAGTACAGAAAAATGCTAGGAATATATTAGCAGTCAAGTTTAGTAAGATAGTAACAAATATAAGAAAAGTAAAGTTAGTACCAATCAGTTCCTTGTCATTAACATCTGCAGGATTTTTCAAAGCAATGAAACTCTTTAAGCGAAACATTTTGAAAGGAAACCCGTTAGAATGTATCTCCTTCACTTGTGTTCTATAGTTGAATTTGATCAGGAAGTCATGTTCTGTAATCTTGTAGACATAGTAATTTGTAGAAGCCATGAAGTTTTTTATTTCAAAAACTTTCCCTTCTTGTAATATTTCTCTATATTTTATAATGTATTTTTTCCTAATGTTGGCATGAATGTAGTCTCCCTGCCAATCAAAAAAAAAATTATACACATTGAAAGACCATTAGATTAGGAGATAGCATGAATATGATTTTTTGAAAGAAAAAAACTGTACCTCTTCATCATGGAACAATACTTCCATGCTCTTACTAGCCTGGCCCTCTCTCCTTTTCTCAGGCACTTCGTATACCCGTACTGCTCTCACCCTGATTGCCCTGAGCTGGTGTTCCGGCTTGATGTTTTTGACAGCAATGAACATGGAAGGCATCTTGAAAGACCAACACTGATTCGAAATGGTAGTAAAGTGACATGGATTTGGGAAGGGTTTTTGGCATGAAGAAGCCGGCTATTTATACAGATTGAATATTCAAATAAACCAAGAGATAACCAGCAGCCACTGTCTTGGAAATCGAACATCTCATTCAATGTTTATATGCAGATTTAAACTCTGCATATTCTATGTAATATATATATTTTTCTTGTTAATTTACTGCATGCATCTCATAACATGTAGACCGGAGGCCTTCCTTATGCGTTGATATTAATCATTTTGTTTATACTACCAAGAGTTCTACATTAAATGAACTCCTTGGGAACCAAGGATAGTATGATACTTTAATACGAATACTTGCCTTTCAAAACGGCTAGGCATATTCCCAATGTGTAATCACATTACACGCGCAAAATAAAAATAACAAAGAATCGCTAAATATTAGTCTATATATAACTTAACATGCGTGTGAGTGTATATATAACTTAACATGTGTAAGCACATTAACTTAACATGTGCAGCACATATAATATTGACTTGTCACTTATTTCCAATGCCAAGTACAAATCTATCAGACCACCTTAGTCCCAATAAAAAAAAAAAAAAAAGACTTAATGTGCTTTGCTTTGCTCTATTACATGCGCGAGCTACAATAACAACATGCGTGTAAATATAAATTTAATTAATTTGCATCGAAATAAGAGATTTTTTAAATCCAAAAGTTTAATGTGCGTCGGGAAACCAATTAAAGTGCGCGAAATATCATTATAAGATGTGTTTATTATATTTTATTAATAAATCCAAAAGTTTAATGTGTGTCGGGAAACCAATTAAAGTGCGCGAAATATCATTCTAAGATGCGTTTATTATATTTTATTAAAAAAAGCAACTAAAATATAATAAAAATATCAAGTCTTTATAGGGGTTCGATTCTGAGCGAAATCAATTTAATCAAAGACTTCTACCATTTCACCATTGGGCTCATCCATTACTTTGATTATAATATATTAATAATAACAACAACAGAGGCAGACATGAGAGCTTGTTTATGTATAAAAACGTAATGTGCGTTGGTTTATGTATAAAAATGTAATGTGCGTTGGTTTAATCAAAGACTTCTGCATTAATGTGCGTTGGTTTATGTATAAAAACGTAATTATTCAGTCATTGCGTTGAAAATTAGTCTAGTATGCGCGATTGCAAAACTTAAAGTGCGTTTGTTTGATTATGAAATAATTTGCATATAAAATGACACATACATGCTTTGAATGTAACATGCGTGATATTGGAACACAATGAGCGTTGGTTTCTATATTAATAAAAATAATAATTTACACTATAATACATTAGTATTTGTAAACGTAAATACACATTGAAACAACACCAATAACATTCAGTGCATCTTTTCTAGTACTTTGAAGACATTTCTTCTAGTTCCGGCATCATCCAACATGCTGCCAGCCTGCCACAATGCTCAACTCTAAGCCTTGGATGATGTTTGATGAGCTTGCAGCTGAGCTTACAAGCTCGATTTGGACATGAGCAAGGAGTGTGGATGCATGTAGGCTCGTGGTCTCTAAGCTTGCTATATATGATAGATTCCTGGCAGCCGTAGGTGTTATTTGGGATGTCGGATGCTCAACTCTCTCAGCCTTGAATGATGTTTGGTTGCGGCATGACTACTTGCAGCTGAGGATGACGAGTGTTCTTTCAGGTTTAAAATGTGTTGTCTTTGTATTTATTTACAATCACTACAATCTGGAGGGCGAGGGGGGTGAAGAGGACATGCAAGATGAGGAATAAAAGAAGATGGCTCTTCTGTACGTGCGGGCACGTGAGAGGTAGCCATTTCAATGAAAACTGATGCTCAGTTGTGTGTTGTTCTTTCCAATTTATAGGCGAATAACTTGGTCCCATGCACTGATTTGAAGATTTCAATGTTGCGTGAATTGACGCGTTTTTAAGGCATTGAATGACCATTCAATGTTATCCGTCTCCCCAACTACAAATGCCTTAAAGTTCTGACATCAAATATCTTTGAATATTACGTGGATTGTTATAAAACACTCAATGTGCTATGGATGAGTGAAAACAAATTATCGTTAAACTGAACTCTGAGAAGATACAGGAATACAAAAGAGGATTAGAGTCCTACCTAACTACACCTAGTCAATAGCTAATAGTTATAGGACTAATTCAACTCTAATGTTACATAATAATTAAATGGGAAATATAACTTGACTAACACTCCCCCTCAAGCTGTAGGTGGTGTGGACACAACACAAAACTTGTCTCGTAGAGTGGCAAAGCGAGCTGACGGAAGAGGTTTGGTGAAGACGTCGGCCAGCTGATCTTTGGTGGAAATGAAATTAACCAAAAAATCCCCAGAGGCTACCTTATCCCTGACGAAATGGTAGTCGATCTCAACATGCTTAGTCCGCGCATGAAAAACTGGATTAGCGCACATGTAAGTGGCTCCCAAGTTGTCACACCATAGAGTCGCCGGAGCCCCTGAATGTAGACCAAGTTCCTGAAGAAGAGACACAACCCAAGTAACTTCGGCTGCGACATCGGCTAGCCCCTTGTACTCAGCCTCGGTGGAAGACCTAGCTACCGTGCGTTGCTTGCGAGATACCCAAGAGACAAGATTCGACCCCAGGAACACGGCATAACCACTTGTGGATTTGCGATCTATCGGACACCCAGCCCAGTCGGAGTCCGAGTAAGCATGGATGGCAGCCGAAGGTGAAGCGGATAGTTTAAGCCCAAATTCCTGTGTACCCTTTACATACCGTAGAACCCGTTTGAGTAAACCCCAGTGCTCATCAGTTGGGGTCTGCATGAATTGACAGAGCCTATTCACGGCATAAGACAAGTTTGGGCGTGTAATGGTCAAATACTGAAGTGCACCGGCTAACCGACGATACTGAGTCGGGTTCTCGTACGGGCTCGTTACTGGAGATATGGCTTGCGTGACTGCTGCTGGAGTGGATAGAGGCTTGCAATCGGTCATTCCTGCTCGCGTTAAGATATCGGCCATGTAGCGACGTTGTGAAAGTAGAACACCATCTTTCACTGGAATTGTCTCAATGCCGAGGAAGAAAGTTGGAGTACCCAAATCACGGATTTTAAAGGTGGTAGACAGCTGACTCAGGAGGGAAACCAACAATTCGGAGTCATTGCCCAGCATGATGATGTCGTCCACGTAGACAAGTAGATAGACTCGTGACGTGCCTCGTGTGTAGTAAAAGAGAGATACGTCAGTTTTGGACGCCACAAAACCTGCAGTCAGTAAGTAATCATGTAACCGCTTAAACCAGGCACGTGGGGCCTGTTTAAGACCATAGAGGGACCGCTGCAAACGGCACACGTAATCTGGATGAGTGGGGTCTTCATAACCCGGTGGCTGACGCATATGAACAGTCTCGGTGAGATGCCCATTTAAGAAAGCATTATGGACATCTAGTTGCCGCATAGTCCAGTCCTGTGATATAGCTAGGGCGAGCAATATGCGAACCGTGGTCGGTTTGACCACTGGACTATAGGTTTCAAAAAAGTCCTCTCCAGCGACTTGATTGAACCCCTTGGCAACCAACCGGGCTTTGTAGCGCTCGATGGTACCATCGGCCTTCCGTTTGGTGCGATAGACCCACTTGCAGCCCACTACATTCATACCGGGCTTGGCCGGAGTGAGACACCATGTATTGTTGTGTAGCAATGCATTAAATTCCTGGTCCATAGCATCCCTCCACTGTGGGTGTGCTACGGCCTGAGTATAGCAAGTTGGATCAGTTGAGGCGGTTAGAGCCTGAAAGGGCTCATCCGTGTCTCGGGTCATGCGCCGGAGCCGCATGGTGAGAGGTTGAACTGGTGGCATGACCCGAACCTGGTTCGACGTCGTGGTGCCACAGTGGTGACTGACTCATGCTGTATGGCTAACGGTGGCTCTTGAACTGCCAGCGGTAACTCATTCAGAGGTTCAACCTGAGATTGTGTGATGATGGGGCTTGACGCCCACGGTACACCGCTTTGAGTGTCCGTACCGCTACTCTGCTCATGTGAACCTGTAGCATAGGGAAACACACTTTCGTCAAACCTGACATGTCGGCAAATAAAGGTTTTCCCAGTTGATGGGTCCATGCATCGGTACCCCCTATATGACGTAGGATATCCTAAAAAGACACAGGGTGTAGAACGGTACTCTATCTTATGGCGATTGTAGGGCCGCAGATAAGGGTAACATCTACACCCGAATACTCGTAGGAACGTGTATGGTGGGATTTTGTTATAAACAGACTCGTAGGGACTAACAAAGTTTTTAAGTGCAGATGATGGTAAACAGTTTATAAGATAGGAAGCTGTTTCAAACGCGGCATCCCAGTGTTTGACAGGGACAGAGCTGTGCGCGAGTAAAGCCAACCCGATTTCGACAATGTGTCTGTTCCGGCGTTCTACTCGGCCATTTTGCTCATGCGTGTAGGCGCAAGACTGCCTATGCACGATGCCAAGGGACTGAAAAATAGAGTGGAGACGGCGATACTCGCCTCCGAGATCGGATTGAACAGACTTGATAGAACGCGAAAACTGGCGTTCTACCATGACACGAAAAGACTCGAAGATATTATAAATGTCTGATTTTAACCGCATAGGGTAAAACCAGCAAAAACGTGTGTGGTCATCCACAAAAAGTACAAAGTATCTAAAACCCCCGGCAGAAACAACGGGTGCCGGGCCCCAAATATCTGTGTACAGCAAGTCAAGTACATTATTACTACTAGAAAAAACCCTATCTAGCGGGAATCGAGACGATTTCCTGAGCTGACACGATGAACACAACTTCGACATACTGGACTTTGATTGAGTGACCGGGCATTTTTGTAAGACTCGATTTTGGGCACGTTCATGCGGATGTCCAAGCCTGCGATGCCAAACATCAGGTGGAGCACGAGCCGTTATTAACGCAACATGTGACCGTGACATGGGTAGCTTGTACAAACCCCCCGTGGAAGGACCCCTAAGGAGCACCGCCTTGGTGTGACAGTCCTTCACAACAAAATGATCATGATGAAATTCAAAATATACAGCATTATCAATTGTAAAACGATTAACTGATAACAACGGTAAGGAAAGACGGGGGACATGCAGAATATTGTTTAATTTAAGAGTTCTAGACATAGAGTTTAATGATGCATGGCCAACACTGGTTATACCCAAACCTGATCCGTTGCCTACGCGGAGCACATCACCGCCGGAGTAGGGATCTGATTGCGCCATCATCGTCTGATCAGGCGTGGCATGCAACGACGCCCCGGTGTCCGGGTACCATGCGTCTGCCACAACCGCCGCCTCGTCTCCGGGAACTGCCGCATGGGCTTGCGGTTGCGGTGCGCCGGAGTAGCGCTTGAAGCAGTGGAGCGCCGAATGCCCATGAGACCGGCAGATTTGGCATCTCGGTCCTCCGCCACGCCCTCTGCCTTGTCCACCCCGACCACGGCCGCCTCTGCCGCGCCACTGCTGGCCGGAACCAGCATGCCGAGGTCCACCGCCAGCGACCTGATTTTGTCCGTAGCCTCGGCCAGCGATCAACGCAGTGTGCCCGGAGGAAGCGCCGGCAGTGGAGAATTCATCTGCCCAGATGAATTCTTGGGCCTGGAGATAGTCCGAAAGTTGCGGGAGGAAGCCATCGACTGGAATTCGGGGCGGAGTCCTCGGAAAGCCCAGAGGTTTTGTTCATCAAGCGAGACCGGACGGCCGGCCAACGCTAAATCTTCCACCAGTAATTGCGCGTGGCCGAGATACTCGGCGGGTGTACTGTCGCCTTGCCTGAGCGATTGGAATTGCGCCAAGAGATTAAGGCATCTCGCCCGTGTGGAGGAACCAAGCGCCGCTGTGATGGATGTCCAGACCTCCTGCGACATGGTGCGGCCGACGGCGAGATATAACACTTCGTCCGCCATCGAGGATACAAGCAGCGACAGAATGCTTTGGTCCTGCTGTATCCAGACGCCATGAGCAGGATTCGGAGAGGTGGTGGACGTGGTGCCGGAAGCAACTTCGCCGGAAACCGGCGTGTCCAGCGTCGCCGGCGGGCACGGCGTATCGCTGGTGACAAACCCGAGGAGCCCCTGTCCACGGAGGAATGGAACAAGTTGAGTGCGCCAGAATAGGAAATTCTTGGTGGTTAACTTCATAGAGATGAAGTGGTGAGCCGAAGAAAGGGTGTTTGGGGTGGTGGTGGTCGACGGTGTAGCGGCGGTGACAGTCCGTTCGCTAGAATTAGTCGACATATTCGGAGAGGGAGAGAAAAAAGGTTCACCTAGCTTACTGATACCAGATGAGTGAAAACAGATTATCGTTAAACTGAACTCTGAGAAGATACAGGAATACAAAAGAGGATTAGAGTCCTACCTAACTACACCTAGTCAATAGCTAATAGTTATAGGACTAATTCAACTCTAATGTTACATAATAATTAAATGGGAAATATAACATGACTAACACTTTGCTTTGCTCTGTTACATGCGCGGACGACAAGAACAATATGCGTTTAAATATACATTTAATTAACTTTTATCGAAATACGATATTTTTTGAAGCCAAAAGTTTAAAGTGCGTCGGGAAACCAATTAAAGAGCGTGAAATATCACCTTAACATGCGTTTATTATATTTTATTAAACGAAAAACAAATAAACTATAATAAAAAAATCAAGCCTTTATGGGGGTTCAATCCTAAGCAAAATCAATTTGATCAAAGACTTCTACCATTTCACCAGTGGGCTCATCCATTATATTAATTATATTAAAAAAATGTTAAAGAGCAATTCCTGAAAATTAAAAACAAGCAAAAAGCTTGACATGCGCAATACGTACGCTCAATATGCGTAATACTGCAACAAAATTTGCGTTTTGTTATCTATTTAAACTATAGTCCGTGGCAAATAAAAAAAAGCTTAACATGCGCAATACAGTAACATAATGTACATTAGAAAATATGTGAGTCTGGGGTATTCTTAAAAGAATATGCTTCAATTTATTCTCTAATATGCGGACGTTAACATGTTATTATGCGCATCTTTCATTCTTAATGTGCATGAGATTGTAAAGTCACTGACTTAGACCCGATAAAAAATAAAAATTAAATAAATAAAAAAAATCAATGGGTGCGTTTTTTATTTTATTTTATTTTATTTTATTTACGTATTGAATGACCAGTCAACTTTAGAAGACTTTATTATTCATTAATATGCGCATGTTAACACTTTATAGTGTGTATCTAACATTCTTAATGTGCATGAGATTGTACACTCACTTTATTATGCGTATCTATCATTATCTATTAATATGACAATGTGCGATGGGGTGTTCTTAAAAGAAGATGCGTCAATAATGACATAATATATCACCATAATAAACATAATAAACATAATATATCATTCAAATTAAAATTGTTGGAGTACAATAATACGAAATAACAAATAACATGAAAAACATAAAATGTTCACACATTCATCGTTATTCATCCTTACGCAGCCTCCTCCTTATTTCAATCCTCATTAGACAAATTTACAACTGTCGCGCCGGGCACCTGTTGATCCATAAAATCGTGAAAGTTATGAAACTGTAAATACATCAATAAAATTATATAAAAAAATGTAAGTATGCAATAGGTCACCTATTCGTCGAAATTGTATTCTTCTACATCATAAACATATGTTGGCAACTCTTCATCTCTCAGCACTCCTGCGCGAGTTTTATCACAATACACCAACATATACCTGAGAGGCGAAGTTTTGTTTCTATAGGTGTTGTACGCCACGTCAAACCTATTGATTATATATGCTTTGCTTACTTCAAATTTGTTGAAGCACTTTTGAACATGCACTTGTGGAATGTGCATGTGTACAATAGTTCCCTGAAATTATTAAAAAAAAAATGCATCAACAGTAAATTTTAGAAATATAAAATATTAAGATTTATAATACGGTAAATAAAAAAAATACCTCAAAATCATGCTACACACACTCTATAGACTTGATGTTTTCAGAACCTTTTGATTCTGGCAGACGAACAACACGAACCACTCGGACCTTCGTGTAATTCCACCGCAGTGCTATCCGAAGTTCGTTACCAACAATTCCAGAGTGAAGTTCAGCGGCCATTGAAAATTTGCCTAAAAGGGAAAATACAAATGCAAAATGTGTTTGTAAGTGACAAATTTGAGACTAGCAGAATGGTGGGTTTAAATAGCAAAATGCGTCGATTCATTCACTCATATGCACACCTAAACACGTTAATATGCGTGTCTTTCATCTTAATGTGCATGATATTGTACGCTCACTAACTTAGACCCAATAAAAAAAAATTCAATGGTTGCGTCTAGGGGTGGGCATTTCGGTTTTCGGTTCGGTTTTCTTCGGTTTCGGTTTTTCGGTTTTAGAAAAGTCAAACCATTCGGTTTAATATTATAGTTCGGTTCGGCTTCGGTTCGGTTTCAATCGGTTCGGTTTTAATTCGGTTCGGATTTCGGTTCGGATTTAAGACTTTATAATCCCCAAATTTTAACATTTCCTAATTTTCAAAACATACTACCAAACAATACTATTCACAAAATCCACATCTAAAATCTAAACGTTATATAACAAAATAACAATTCAAAGTTTAAACATACTAATAGCAATCTAATTACCAAAACAACACATACTTAGAATCCAAAGTTCAAAGTTCAAAGTTCAAAGGCTTAAAATATTACAAACATGAAACATAACATAGTTCAAACTTCAAATCCAATGTTTAAAGATTACAAACATAAAACATCAAATAACCCAAATCCAAAGTCTAATCAAACACAATCAACATAGTAATCCAAATTCCAAACTCATATGTTGATAAATTGTTCATCCATCATCACGGATCAATATGAAGTTGCCCTGCTGATTTGCGAATCTCTGTACAACAAAACAAAAGGTTCAAAAAGAAGTTAAAATAATAAAATATTGAAGCATAAACTAATATAGTATATATTATACATAAATTCATAATAAAATATAGAATTGTCAATTACCTTCTGTAAGCATATCCATAAACTGAGTTTCTTCTAATATCTGAGCCAGGCTTACTGTTGCATCAGATTGGAGTGAAGACCGCAACCAATCTTGTGTCAAAATCAATGCCTCTACCATATACGGTGTCAAAGAACTCCGATATTGGTCTAAAATACGACCTGAAGTGCTAAAGGCAAACTCTGATGCAACACTAGAAACTGGAATTGCAAGAACATCACCTGCCATTTGTGACAAGATTGGGAATTTCATACTTTCTTTCCTCCACCATGACAAAATATCAAATTGCATACCCAATCTATTAGGAGCTGGCATTTCAACCTTTTCCTTCAAGTATATATCCAACTCATTTGATGTTTGTTGCACATCTCCTTTTTCACATACCAAATTGGTGGTATACATGTTAAAAATACTCCCAACCGGTGCAAAATCACCAACAGCACCAACATTTAAAACCAATTCACTAGTCACACAAGATTGAATTACACTCTCACATCCACTTTCACTTCCACCACCACTTTGACTTGTAGTTGCACTTGGTTTAGCATAAAATGCACTGTATACCTCATACAACTTACGCATGACATCCACTACTGCTTCTTTCATTTCACTACACTTTGGTGTATCTTTGCCATACAATTTTTCAAAACAAATTGTCACAAAACTCATCTTGCTCCTCGGATCCAACACACTACTAACAATCAACAATTTAATTATCTCAGACCCCTCCCAATACTTATCAAACTTTTTCTTCATTTCCAAAGCCATGCCACTCATATTCACATCTTTACTAGTACTGAAAACATTCAAATTAACTTCAATTGTGCATATATCATCAAAACAATGACTAGATGTCACAGTTTTGTATGAAGAAAAAGACAAAGTGGCATCATAAAAGATTTTTAAAAATTGTACCAATCGCTGAACATTCTCCCAATCAATTGATGATGGCGGCCCAACCCTTCTCTTTCCATTTTCATCCTCTTTAAAGTAAGCATCATACAACTTGTCTTCATTAGCCATTCGATCAAATGCTGCCTTATACTTGAGAGCTGCAGTCAACATGAGGTAAGTAGAATTCCATCTAGTATTGCAATCCAAAATCAAACTCCCTCTACTTAAGTTATCTTGCTCTGCACGAATTTGAAATGCTTGAAATCTAGAATTGGATGATCTCACATACTTCACTGCATTACGAACACTAACGACACTATTACCCACCGCTGCCAAACCATCCTTCACAATCAAATTTAAAATATGTGCACAACAACGCACATGCAAAAACTCTCCACCCAGTATCAAAGGATCCTCTCTCCAACACCTCACTTTAGTTTTGAAAATCCTAAGTGCACTATCATTAGCAGATGCATTGTCAACTGTGATAGTAAAAACTTTGGTAATACCCCAATCAATCAAACAATTCTCAAGTTCTTTTGCAATTGTTTCACCTTTATGATCAGAAATTGGTTTAAAACTGATAATTTTTCTGTGCAACTGCCAGTTCACATCAACATAATGAGCAGTGATAACCATATAACTGATAGTAGTAGTACTTGCAGTCCATATATCAGTAGTTAAAGAAACCCTTGAGTCACTAATCACACTCTTCAATAACGCTTTTTCTGTCATGAACAATTCAACTACGTCTCTTGTGATTGTTCTTCGTGAAGGGATAATGAACTTTGGACAAGCAACACTACAGAATTGTTTAAACCCATCCCCATCCACAAAAGAAAATGGCAATTCATCTAAAATAATTATCTTAACAGTTGCCCTCCTACAAGCCTCTTGATTAAATCCAACCGCCACAAGCTGACTACTACCACCTTTAACAACACTTGCACTTTCATGTATTGTTAGATTTTTTTGGGTTGCACTATCAAGATTATCCTTAAATGCAGCACATTTTTGATTATGTGTCCTCAAACCTCTAGTGCCACTCTTTGTTGGACACTTAAATTCTTTAAAGCAGTAATTCCATTTACATTTATCCTTGTCGTCCTCCAATTTAGTAAAGTGATTCCATACCTCGGACCTTGGAGCACTTGGTTTCGGTGGAAGTCCACTGGTTGTACGTTTTCTTTTTTGTCCCACCGATTCTTCAATTGGCTCAGTTGGAGTGCTACTTGGAGTGTCACTTGAAATGTTTCCTTGATGCGAAGATAAAGAATCATCCATCTAAAATGTAAACGGGACTGTAAGTGACTAATGTATATATATATATATATAACAATTTAGTAAAGTGAACCGGAATGCATTCCAGTGAACTGCAGTTCACTGGAATGCATTCCAGTGAACTGGAATTTAATTCCAGTGAACTGGAATGGGTATTCCAGCGAACTGGAATTAAATTCCAGTTCACTGGAATACTCTTCCAGTTCACTGGAATTGTTCCAGTGAACTGGAATTAAAATGGTTCCATTATTTTCGTACATATTTAACTATTTTAGAACTGGAATTTAAATGGGATGAGATTAAGTCTAAATAAAATTGAAATAAAGTGTACTAAACCTAATGAAATTGATATACAACATTACAACTTAACACAATGAACTTGAAATTCTAGAACACTAAGTCTAAATAAAAGCCCTAATTCAAAATTCAAGACTATTCAAATTGAAATAAGAAATCGAGAAAAATGTATAAAGTATAAACTATAAAGTATAAACTATAAAATTAAAAAATATAACATAGAAAAGCCAAACATTACCTTGGTCGCGGTTGTTCTTCAGGCTTCACTCTTCAACTATGGCGCGGTGGCAGAGGCGTGGCGCGGTAGCGGAGGAGTGGCGCGGTGGCGATCTAGCGGAGGCGTGGCGCGGTGGCGGAGGGCGAGAGTGCGAGGGGTGAGAGTGTGAGACGGTGAGTGGCGAGACGAGGAATTAGGGTTAGTGTCTTAGTGAGTATCGAAGAACTGAAGAACTGAAGTATTAGATTTTTAGTTTATTAATTATTATATATAAAAAAAAAATTTATTTAAAAAACCGATCGGTTATCGGTTCGGTTCGGTTTTTAATCGAACCGAACCGAACCGAACCGATCGGTTTCACCTAAACTACTACCGAACGGTTTTTCGGGTAGAAACCGAACCGGTTCGGTTCGGTTCGGTTAGGGTAACCCGAACCGATTTGCCCAGCCCTAGTTGCGTCTTTTTAAAATATTGAATGACCATTCAACTTCGAAAGATTACCATTATGGGAAATATAAAAATCGCTGACACCAAAATTGACTTCTCACTTATTTTCAGTGCCAAGTACAAATCTATCGGAACTTATTGCTCTAATATGCGTTACATTTACACTTAACATGCGTGTACGTGTATGTACAACATAAAATCCACGGAACAAATATAATTCAAAATGCGTCTATTGCTATTACAATGTGCGTTGCGATATTCTTAAAAGGATATGAGTCAATTTATTTATTATTATGCGCACATTTATACTTTATTTATTCGTTTATTTCAGTCTAAAAATGCATTACATTGACTACTAACTGCTTAGTCCCAATAAAAAAAAAATATCAAATGGGTGCGTCTTTTTAAATATTGAATGACCATTCAACTTCGAAAGATTACCATTAATAGGTGCGTTTTTTTATAAGTTGAATGACCATTCAACTTTAACAGATTTCCTTTATGAGAAATGAAAAAACTGCTGACAATGAAATACAGTTGTCACTTATTTTAACATATTTCATTTAACATGCACCCGTTCATCTGCCGGTAATATGTTGAAGAGCCTATATAAAGAATGGATCATCCACCACACCTTATCATCTCAAAACAAAGATGGAAAAAACAAAAAATGCTGAGAAAGACAATCAGTCCAACCAACCCCGAAAACCACTTTCCCTAATACCAAAACAACATCTACCAGCATTGAAAAAGGATCTAAACGATCCAACTTTCAAAGAAAGGTTCGAAGCATTTATTGACGACTTCCCTGCTGAGAACACCTCTGATGATTCCACAGGAACAAAAGTGTCTTACAACACATAGAAAACGGAGGCTCTTGCCTACCTAGCTGCTGAGGACGCTACTGAAGAGGAAGAAGTCGACTCAAAGAAGGGGCTAATCTTCGTGAAGAAATAAATGACAGGTTAAGCTTGATTACACATGTTATGATGGACACACGTTATTAGTATTACGTTTTGATGTAATAAGTGTCCACTCTTTAATGTTTTAATTAATAATATCAAGTTTATTATGGTGAAGTTGGTAGTTTTCACGATGCTTACAGATGCGTTGATAAGCCATTTAACTTGCGCAGCATTAAACCAACAAATGCGATAGAATTTTGTTCACGTGTTCATCCATGCATCTTTATGTTCATCCATTAAAGCTTAACATGCGCAATACAGTAACATAATGAACTTTACAAAATACGTATGTCTGAGTGTTTTTTTCCAGAGATATTAATATACGTAGAATTTGGTCTTAATGTGCGTTGATTGAATTTTGTCTAATGGTACTCGGATTTGCATGTTTATTTACCCAATATGAAAAATAACCAATTCACCAAAAATGAATAAATTGCAAAGGGATTTATTATTTACATTGCAATAATTTACATTTTGAACTGCTACTTCTACAAATATAATAATATTAATAATAATAACAATAACAACATACCAAGACTATGTGGTCTAATGGTACCCGGGTTGGACTTCCATTTGGAAGGTTGTGAGTTTGAGCCTCAGTGGAGGTGTTATTGGTTTTTTTGTGTTTTAGTAGGTTGAGAAAGTATATGAACAGATACTACAATGTAATAGAGCCAGTAGCATTCAAAAAAAAAAAATACAACATTAATAATAAAGGAAAAATCCCACTTATTATCAACCAACAAACAGGAAACAATACAACATTAATAATAAAGGAAAAATCCCACTTATTATCAACCAACAAACAGGAAACATCCCACTTATTATCAAACAACAAACAGGAAACATCCCACTTATTATCAACCAACAAAAAATACAACATTAATGATAAAGCAACTTATTATCAACCAACAAAAATAAAGTTATTATCAACCAACAAACAGGAAACATCCCACTTATTATCAACCAACAAACAGGAAACAGCCCACTTATTATCAACCAACAAACAACATCCCACTTATTATCAACCAACAAACAACATCCCACTTATTATCAACCAACAAATAGGAAACATCCCACTTATTATCAACCAACAAACAGGAAACATCCCACTTATTATCAACCAACAAACAGGAAACATCCCACTTATTATCAACCAACAAACACAATAAAGAAGACATGAGAGCTTATTTTAAATAACAGAAAAAAAAAACCCAGGCAAACGACAGGATCCATCTATACCTTTTGAAGATATTTATTTTGGTTAAGACTGCATTAAGGTACCAAAAGATATATCTCCAAAAGGAGTAGAGGATCCTGTCGTATGTCTGGGCTAAATTAACACATTCTAAACCTGAAAAGATCGACATTTGTGAAACTAAAATATAACCGATCCAACACATCCAAATCAGTTAGCGTTTAGCTCCACAGAAGAAGATCTTCTCAGGCTTAGAATGTGATGTTTTAGATGAAAACAACTAAAATATGTGCTCTACTCGAAGAACGTCTGCTTCGCTCATATCTCCTGTACCTCCTCGTATAAACTTCCAGGGTTGTGGTATTTTGTATTTGATACATGGGATGTTTAGAATGAGTTGTTATTGTTATCAACTACATTGACAAACAAATAGAAGGAGAGCGAGTAAGATAAGAATATGTAAACATCGTTATGAATGGTCTGTAAAACTCAAATTACAACGTTTCAATATATATACAGTATGGTAATGAGATACTCCACTATTATAGGCGAATAACTT